CTATCAAAGTCTCAAAGAACCCTAACCCGATCTCTCTATCTCTCAAGTCTCAACGTTAATCAAAGAACCCTAAGTCCCTAACCCGATCTCTCTAGGATCGGGTCCAGCCTCCTCTAGGCTCCAGCCACCGGCGGCCTCATCTCCGGCGAAAAAGTATACGGCTGATTTGGTAGACAGACTAGTACTCAATTCTTAGAATTTCCCTAATTTTTTTGATTGACGAAATTGGTGAATGGTGAATGGTGAATTGGTGATGTAACTGATGTTTGTGGTTTTTTATTAGGTTGTATTAAGTTTCTGGAGTGGAGACGTGGAGTTTTATTATTTGGTTTTCAGTTCTTGTAAGCAAGAGGCTGAATAGCGATTAGCGAATCCGTTCCCGCATCTCTCGGCTCTCGCCACCACCAAACGTCAAGCTCGACGGTTTTATCTTTCTAACTAAAACTATTTAATTTTCTTTATCATTTATTCATATTAATTTTATGCTTAATTAGAGATATTGTAGATAATAGATATACATTGAAAGCTTTTTATTTGCTATTTTATATTTTGAAAGCATGCCTAATAAAAAATATGAAAGTGGTTGTCAAAAATTAAAAAAAAAGAAAAAGAGTTGAAAATTTAATTCGATCTCAACAAGGAGCTCTTGATAAATTTGTATTTAGTAATAAAGATAATGTTACATCAACTTCAACAGAAGAAGAAAGAATAGATGAATCTTTACTTGAGAATGAATTAGAAGAATATGTTGAGAATTTAGGACAAAATAATGATATTAACGATAATGATATTCAAGAAGAAAAAGCTAGTACTCCTAATTTTAATGAAGAATATAAAAAAAATTCACATGAGGGTCAAGAAAAAAATTTAGAGATGAATGAGATATCAAATCCAATTCTTGTCAATATTTATGATCCTGGATAATGGAAATGTATTTATCAATATTTTATAGATCTAATGGTTGAAAAATGTCCAATTAAATATGAAGAAGTAGATTTTCCTAAAGATAAAAATAATAGACACTTTTCTACATCATATTACATAAAAAAATTATCAAATGGAGAAAAACATGAAAGAAGATGGTTAGTTTACTCTAAAGATTTAGATAGAGTTTATTGTTTTTGTTGCAAATTATTTACTTTAAAATCTAGTACAAGTCAATTAGTTAACGAAGGCACTAGAGATTGGAAAAATCTTGGATATAAAATTAAAAATCACGAAACAAGTCATGAACATATCACTAATATGTGTAAATGGGTGGATTTAGAAGTAAGATTACAAAAAATAAGACAATAGATAAAAACATTCAAGAACAAATTAATAATGAAAAAGAACATTGGAAAAAAGTTTTGCTAAGACTTATTGCTATAATAAAACATCTATCAAAAAATAATCTTGTATTTCGAGGAACAAAAGAAAAGATATATGAAAAAAATAATGGAAACTTTTTAAGCTTAGTTGAAATGATAGCGGAATTTGATCCCATAATGCAAGAACATGTTAAACGTATTCAAGAAGGTGAAATTCAAAATCATTATCTTAGTCATAAAATGCAAAATGAACTAATAGAGTTGCTAGCTTCTGAAATTAAACAAATGATCATTAAAAAAATAAAAGAAGCAAAATATTTTTCAGTTATCCTTGATTGTACTCCAGATGTAAGTCATCAAGAACAAATGACTCTTATTTTAAGATGTGTTGACACTTCAACAAGTCCAATAAAGATTGAAGAATACTTTTTAGAGTTTTTAAAAGTAGATGATACTTCGAGAAAAGGCCTTTTTAATGAACTTTTAAATATTTTGAAAAAAGAGTTTTTAAAAGTAGATGATACTTCGAGAAAAGGCCTTTTTAATGAACTTTTAAATATTTTGAAAAAATATGAACTTGATGTTAGAGAAATAAGAGGGCAAGGTTATGATAATGGATCTAATATGAAAGGAAAACACAATGGAGTACAAAAGAGGCTATTAGATATAAATCCTAGAGCATTCTACACACCATGTGGTTGTCATAATTTAAATTTAGTCTTATGTGATATAGCTAATTCATGTCCTAGAGCTATTTCTTTTTTTGGAGTGTTGCAACGTATATACTCATTGTTTGCTTCCTCTACTAAACGATGGAAAATTTTAGAAGATAATGGATGCAAGTTATCTGTTAAATCTTTATCTCAAACTAGATGAGAAAGTCGGATTGAAAGTGTTAAAGCAATAAAATTTCAAGCTCCAAATATAAGAGATGCTTTGATTCAATTAGCAGAAATTAGTGAAGATCCGAAGATAAAAAGTGAAGCTAATTGCTTAGCAACTTATGAGATTGAAAATTTTGAATTCTTGTTAGCTATGAATATTTGGTATGACATATTGTTTGCTGTTAATTCAGTTAGTAAAATCTTACAATCTAAAGACATGCATATTGATATTGCCATAGATCAATTAAAGGGTCTTATTGTATATTTAGAAAATTATAGACAAAATGGATTTATGTCTGCTTTGAATTCAACTAAAGAACTTGCTAATGAAATGAACATACAACCTATATTTCGTGAAAAATGTAAAATTCATAGAAAAAAACAATTTAATGAAAATATTGGTAATGAAACAATATTTAACGCTGATGAATCTTTTCGTATTGAATATTTCTTATACATAGTTGATAAATCGCTTGGGTCAATTGAAAATAGGTTTGAACAATTTAAAACGTATGAAAAAAATTTTGGTTTTTTATTTGATTTGAAAAAATTAAAAGCTTTAGATGATATTGAATTGAAAGAATATTGTCTTAATCTCGAAAATGCACTAAAACATGATGAACATTTAGATATTAATGGACTTGATTTGTTTTTAGAATTGAGAGTACTTAGGAAAATTTTAAAAGTAGACATTAATAGTCCAATTGAAGTGTGGAACTATATAAAGTGGTTAGATTCTTTTCCAAATACTTGTATTGCTTATCGTGTATTATTAACTATACACGTAACAGTTGCTTCCGCTGAAAGAAGTTTTTCAAAATTAAAATTACTAAAATCTTATTTAAGAACGACCATGTTACAAGATAGATTGAATGGTTTAGCAATATTATCTATCGAAAATAGTATGTTAGAAAATATTGAATATAAAACCTTAATTAGTAATTTTGCAGCGCAAAGGGTAAGAAGTATGAGATAAAATCTATTATGAGTTGTATCACTTAGGTCTCATCTAATATTTCGCCTTGGGCCCCAAAATTTCTAGGTACGGCCCTGGCTTCCGCTGAAACAAGTTTTTCAAAATTAAAATTACTAAAATCTTATTTAAGAACAACCATGTTACAAGATAGATTGAATGGTTTAGCAATATTATCTATCGAAAATAGTATGTTAGAAAATATTGAATATAAAACCTTAATTAGTAATTTTGCAGCTCAAAGGGTAAGAAGAATGAGATAAAATCTATTATGAGTTGTATCACTTAGGTCTCATCTAATATTTCGCCTTGGGCCCCAAAATTTCTAGGTACGGCTCTGGCTCTACACCACACATGCGTGCACGGGCTAAGCTCGAGGTCGGGTGGCGTGCGCCCACGACCTACGGACACGAATGCAGCCCCAGATTGAAGGGCTCTTAATCTGCTACATTTAAATTTTTTTAAAACGTGTTAAACGGGTAGCATAATTAGTAGGTGGAAATTAAGGATTAAAACGACTAGCATTAAAATGTGATAATTGTCGCGGGATTTATGGACAGAAATGGCTAATAATGGATTTTAACGAGCTGAAACGGCTAGCATATTGAATAAGACGTTCATGGCGGATCTGAAAAGGCGTAAAAAGTGGATCTAAACGATGACTATAACCCTATAAAAAAGACCTACAGTAAGAGTTCGGATACAGTGGAAAAAAAACACAACATCTTCTCTGTTCTTCCCCTTCATTTTCTTGCTGTTACGTTTTGTTAGTTCTTTGAAAGTCGAGAAGAATTCGCAAAGCCTTCTTGAAGCTTGTGCCAACGAGAAGGAGGTCGCCTGACCGAGGGTCGTTGTATCTCCAAGAACTATTGCTGCTGTACGAGAGGGGGTAATTAGATTCTTGGGACAGTGCCTTATACGCCTCGATTATCAGGCCGTATTTCTAACCTTATTTAATTTTCGTTTGAATTATATTATTTTTGTGTTATAATATTTATCTGATATTATCTGATTTAATAATCAACTATTTAAAACTTAATTTCGTGTTAACTTTTGTCTAAACAGCTTATTTTTTTTTCCAACACATATAATACACGCAATTAAGCTAGAAATGCACCTGAAGGTATGTGCATGTATCCAGGGGTCATCTTCCTTAAAATTGTTCTAGACGTACGGTTCATCCAATAAGATACTATAGCCTAACTAATTACGCAGATGCTCATTCTATGGAGTACAAGCGAATTCCATTTACCGGCCGGCCTTGGCTTCATCAAAGACAAATTTTTAAATAATCTAATCATTGTTTTGCTCTCAAATTATTAGATATATACCTAGATATAGTTGATTATTTCGCTTCATTGAAGCTTGTTTACCAGAAAAAGGGAAACAAGAAAGAGATGCAACAGCCTGCTATCTTCTGACTGCTATTGACAAGCAAGTTTTTGTTAATTACAAAAACAAAACCATTTTCTTCTTGACTTCGTTTGGTGGAAGCTTTCAAGGATTTTGCAGATACTGTGATCGAAACTATTTTAGTATATACACATACATCCTCTTTTTCTTTAATGCAACTTAAGCGCTTAGGTGTCCTCCATTCAAATTTGGCGACCAGAAAGACTTGGTCGCCAGACAAAGTCTTTTGCCTAAAACCCCCACTCATCATGTCAACCGATCAACAGTTCTCTCACGACTTTTCAAACATTTAGCTACCCCAACTCATCATGTCAACCAATCAACAGACGTTCTCTCACGACTTTTCAAACCTTTAGCTTCTTTGTACACTATATATATAGATATTCCAAGCTCCGAACGTTAATAGACACAAGAGCCAGCAATAATGAGACTGCTAAATCTTGTGCTTGCTTCTCTCATCGCCGCTGCGGCAGCAGCAAGCAGCACTTCAGCTGCAGTTGAATACACTCTCATCAATAACGCCACCGGAACTCCTGGAGGCGAGAAATTCAAGAACAAGGTCGGTTTCCAATACACTCGGCAAGTCCTCTCGGATGCCACATGCTTCATCTTTACCATCTTCAACCAGCATCTCGATTCAGAGCGAAAGAACATCGATCGCATAACCCTTATAATTCACAGCTTCAATGGTGTCGCTTACGCAATCAACAACGAGATCCACGTGAGCTCAGATTACATTGCAGGCTACACCGGTGATGTGAAGAGAGAGATTACAGGTGTTTTGTACCACGAGATGACACACGTGTGGCAGTGGAACGGGCAAGGTCGGGCTCCAGGGGGGCTGATCGAAGGGATAGCGGATTACGTGAGGTTGAAGTCAAATTACGTGCCGTCTCATTGGGTGAAGCCTGGGGAGGGACAGCGCTGGGATCAGGGTTATGATGTTACTGCCAGGTTTCTTGATTACTGCAGCGGTGTGCTGAGAAGTGATTTTGTGTCGCTGCTTAATGCTAACATGAAGAATGGGTATAGTAATGATCTCTTCAAGCAGTTTCTTGGTAAGAGTGTTGATCAGCTGTGGAGTGATTACAAGGCACACTATGGTAAATAATATTTTTAGTGTGCGATATCGTGTATTGTGATGTATGAAGTTAAATAAGTGCATATATGAATCGGGCATGCATTGATTGTGTTTTTAACTTGTTTATTTCTTAGTGTAAACTATTCATGATCATGTGAAATATTTAAATACATTATTTAGAGATTACATGTACCGGATCTGTGGAAGGGATTACCATGCACTATTCTTAATCTTCAAACAATGGCCAGATGGTGACCACACCATTAAAACGGCGAGAAACTCCGGCTCATCACCCCGCAACTACTGCGTAAATCACATAATTGATAAAAAGAAAGTAGATGACAGTAGTATATTTTTCTATTTTTCTTTAATCTCTACATAAGTGCATATGTATAAAGTAGAGGACAAAACCCTAATCTAATAGGATAAGGAACCGGTCCAAGGATCGGTTTGGGTCCTCTTGGATCTGCCCACTTATTTGGGTGAATCTCACCCAAAGCTAACAAACTCTCCCTCGAACAAATGCATGGGTGTTGTCCACTACTCCTTGAACCAACTCCCTTTGTCAAAATCTCCCTGAGATTCTTCTTCCTATTTAAATCCATGTCCATATATCGCAAGTGTGGCGTGGACCATTGAGAACCTGCATGCAGATAGCCTTGCAACCAGATCCGTTAGAATAGACACAAGGATCTCCCTAAAATAAAAATACATAGACAAAGTTGTAAATATGCGATATATCGTACCCCAAATCGAATCAACCATGTCTGCTCAAGTACTTTTATCCCTCAAAGAAGCATAAAGAACACCCATGTCAGCCCTTAATTCATTGCACTCTTAAATATTGCTCTCAGAATAAATTAGAGTTGGCCTTGAGATGCAATCAGGAGACATGTGTAATATCCCTAATTTTTTTATTGATAATAAGATGATGTTATAAGTTTTATGTTACAAAGGTATATTGTGCACAAAAAAGCAAGAAAAAAATGGATATAGTAAGATATCTAATATAAATTTGCAGGGGATTTATTGTATTTGGAAGTTTGTCAAGGGGATTTATCAGTGATGATGTACTAATAAGAGAAAACCCTAACCCACATCGCGGCCACTTATTATGTCTCGTGTTTCTCATCTCTGGAGTAAACGACACCAAGGAGGGGGAAAAAAGGATCAAACGTCTATGGAGCAATGTGGGTTTTTGGATGAAGAACATTAAGCAAGGTAGGTTTTTTTTAATTACCTTTTTTTTTGTCAATGAAAAATTTTATTCATTTCCCAATTGTGAGAATCTGTACATATCAAGATACTCAGTACTATGGACTGAGATTACAAGAACAAAATGAGATTACATGTATTAGAAATACAACTAGAACTTTTATATTGACATGAAAAGTTCTCTGTCCCTGTTGGAAGAATGCGGGCTGTTTATAAGGATGGTTGAGACATCAAATTTGATTTCTCTGACAACTTGATCAACATTCTTTATTTTTTGTGTGAAAATCCTTTCATTCCTTTCCCTCCAAATGTGATAGATAGAAGCCGTTAAGGCCAGTCTCTTAAGCTTTTGCTTATGACCTCTACCTCTCAACCTTGCAAACCAATTTGCTAGGTGAGACCAGTTATTGGATTTCCATCCAAAGCCAATCCAATCCATAATTTGGTCTCAGATGAAGCCAGAGAGGGGGCACTCAAAGAACAAGTGATCTCTAGACTCCATGTTCAATCCCATACATAACCTGCAGCAGTTGTACTTATAATCCCTCTTTGCAGCAGTTTGTCCTGGGTTAATAGTCTATCATGCATAGTCAACCAGCAGATAAAAGTGTGTTTAGGAATGTTTAAATTCCCCCAAACAGTCTTATACCATGAAACGGGATTTGATACAGGAGATAGCCCTGCATACAATGCTGAGAGTTTAAGCTTTGAGTTCCTGTGACAGGAATTAATGAAGATTTGCAGCCTGTCAGTTCCCGCAAATTCAGCCAGAGCTTTATTTTTGACTTTTACCAGTTGTCTCCACATCCAATAATCCTCTGATTTTGCTCTTACTTGCCATATATCTCTATTTTTGAGATAATTCCCATGAATTCATTTGATCCACAATGATTCTTGGTTAGTATGTATGGACCAGATGTTCTTTAGTGCACTTGCAATATTCTAGTTATAAGCTGAAAACACTCCCAAGCCTCCTTGCTTTTTGTCTATACATACTTTTTTCCATGAAACTAGAGATTTCCTGGATGAATTCCACAAGAATCTCCTACGCATTTCATCTATCTTGTGAAGAACACTAGCAGGACGGACATAGCTTGAAGTCTAGAAAATCTGCACTCCAAGTATAACACTTTTAATAACTTGTAACCTTCCTGCATAGGATAGGTTTTTGTGATTTTTCCAGCTTTGTAATTGACTAGAGATTTTATCAAAAAGAGCACTGCAATCCATGTGTGATAGCCTCTTGGATATGAGAGGGACTCCAATGTATTTGAATGGCATTTTTCCTTCATTAAACCCCAGATTGTTGGAAATGGATGCTTTGATATTGTCCTCAACACCTCCATAGAAAATAGAGCATTTTTCAGGATTTGCTTCTAACCCTGAAATATCACCAAAAGATTTGACACACTGATATATCTTGTGCACAGAGTATGTATCTCCTTTAGCAAAAAGAAGCATCACCAAAAGATTTGACACACTGATATATCTTGTGCACAGAGTATGTATCTCCTTTAGCAAAAAGAAGCAAATCATCCGCAAAGAACACTGATATATCTTGTGCACAGAGTATGTATCTCCTTTAGCAAAAAGAAGCAAATCATCCGCAAAGATATGATGAGTGATCTTCAGATTTTTACATTTAGGATGGAATTTAAAGAACTTGTCATCTTTTAAGGATGTCAAACTTCTTGATAAGTACTCCATACCTAGGATGAAAAGATAAGGGGAGAGAGGATCCCCCTGTCTCAACCCACGTTCACCCTTGAAATATCCTTGTAATAATCCATTGAGAGATATAGAATACTTTGGAGTAGTAATGCAAGACATAATCCATCCTATCATGCCAGTTGGAAAACCCAATCCTGTAAGCATTTTTTTAATAAAGCTCTAACTTATTGTATCAAAGGCCTTCCTTATGTCAATATTCAGCATGACCCTTGAAGATATATGCCTTCTGCTGTAGTTTTTCACCAGTTCATGTGCTAACATTATGTTGCTTGAGATTTGCCTTCCCTTTACAAAAGCACTTTGAGCCTCATTTACAATATATCCCATAGGTTTAATTCTGTTTGCCAGAATATTTGTTATGAACTTGTATATGCAGTTACAACAAGAGATTGGCCTGAAGTCTGAGGGAGTTTTAGGACACTGAATTTTAGGAATAAGAGTAATTGAGGTAGAGTTTGTTATCCCCAACAACTTACCAGTCCTAAAAAATTCCTCAATAGCTAAGATAATCTCATCCCCAATTACAGGCCATGCAGTTTTGAAAAAATACATATTGTATCCATCTAGCCATGGGGCTTTGTCTTCAGATAATGAGAAAACAGTTGCCTTTATTTCATCTTTTGAAACTGGTTTCGACAACTCTTTGACTTGTGAATCACTTAGACATGGACCTTACTTAATGATGTTGATGTTAGGAGGAAGAGTATTTGTTGCCTTCCCCATCAGATTTTTATAATATGATATAAGCTCTTGTACAATTTCTTCACCATTAGTAATTATATTTCCCCTGCTGTTGTAGAGGATTAGAACTCTATTATTGTGTCTTTTATACTTTGCTATATCATGAAACAGTTTTGAGCTCCTATCACCATGCACATTCCAACCAATTCTGGCCTTTTGCATATAGAAATACATTTCACAATCAAGGAGTTTATTGTATGTTAGAATGCACTCTTTCTCCTGTTTAATATATTCAGAATTGAGAGGGCCAGCTTGTAGAATTCTCTGAGACTCTTCCAAAGCAATTTTTGCTCTTTGTACTTGTTCAGTAATGTTGTAAAAATGCTTCTTGTTCAGATCTTTTAACTCCTTTCTCAGCATTTTGAGTTTTGTATATACTGAGTACATAGCATAACCTTGAATAGGTGTCTTTTAACTCCTTTCTCAGCATTTTGAGTTTTGTATATACTGAGTACATAGCATAACCTTGAATAGGTGTTTGCCAAATTTTTGAGACAGTAGGTATAAAATGTGTATGCTTGGTCCACATTTTGAAAAATTTGAAAGGCTTTTTTCCTTGTACCAAATCTTCATATACTGACACAATAGCTGGAGAATGGTCAGAAAAACTGGGGAGCATGAATTCCACATGGCTAGCTAAAGGTATACTTATCAATCCATGCATCATTGACCAAGGCTCTATCTAGCCTACTCCAGATCCTTGAATTTGCATCCTGTTTATTATTCCAGGTATAAAAACACCCCAGAGTTTTCAAGTGACTGAGATTGCAATCCTCAATGAAGCTTTTAAAATCTTTGGTATCAGCCTCTGTTAGATTAATTCCACCAAGCTTTTCCTCATTATTTAATAAGGTATTAAAGTCTCCACATATGATCCATGGTACATTTCCAATATTCTGGGATATCTGATTAAGATCTACCCATAAATCTTCTCTAGCTTCTTGTCAGTTAAACCCATAGACTGCTGAAGTTATACAGCTAAGTCTACCATCCATTGAATTCATAGTGCAAGTAATATGCTGGTCTGATAATTTGATCACCTGAATGTCAAAGAAATTTGGATCCTAGAGGATAATAATTCTAGCTTTTCAGAATCTCTCACATTTGACATCCATTTCCAATTTTTAGCAATGCTCTTAGCAGTTACATCCAGCAGTGATTCCTTAATCTTGGTTTCAATGAGGACTATAAAGGATAAATGATACTGTAAAATATGATTTTTCACCAATTGTTATTTAGGGGATTTGTTTAATCCCCTCACATTCCAAAATGATAAGTTCATATGTATGGAGTGCCCCCCCTATCTGCACATGGGTCACTTTTGTTATTTCCTCCATTTGATTTTCCTGGAGATATTTTCTTTACTTTGTTTCCTTGAACAAGTATCCAGTTATCCCCATTTTTAGATTGTTGGCCATGCACAACATGCAC